TGTGAAATAATTTGTAATATATAAAAAATTTTATGCGCGATTGAGAAATAATTTCTGATCAATTAATTTGATAATTTGTGACCTAATAATCCTTTATTGCGATCTTAATATATTTAACTAATAAAAAAATATTTTTAAGTAATATCTAATTTTTGAAATTTTAAATCTTGATTCTTAGTTTCGAAATGAGTCATACTTAAACTCTTATATAATTGATTTTTTTAAAAGGAAAAAATGTTGGTGGGTACAAACAGCTCACGAGTTGGCACGACTTACTCCACCAATGGATGAGTTGTGGGTAAGCCGAGCTAGTTTTTTTCCATACATGCTGGCTTGTGCTTGGTTCACCCCAAGACGAACACTTGCCAGTTCGTCTAATAGGTCGAGTCGAACCTCAACTCTGCCCATTAACATTTTTACTTTGCCTCTTGAAACAAAATATTTAGGCTTTGTCTGGTGCAAATTATTGGCCGAAAAGAATGGATTTTCCTATCATTGTGGCCGTAATTTTTGACTGACTCTTTCTTTGTTGGTACCCGCAGTTGAACTCAACGGTAAGAAAATGGTTGAAAATCCATTGAAAAATCACAGCCAGACAAGGACTTAGCAATCCTATTACGTGTCAAGCATGAAAGGAAAGGGTTGAAGCAGTTTAACATCAAATGTTTTTAGCACTATTGTGAAGCTAAATTGCTGCATAGACGTATTGTCTCTCTTTTTTTCGCATCTTGAAGAAGTCACACCAATTCAAATTTGAGAAAGATGTATTGTCTCTCTTTTTTTCACATCTTAAATTTCATCACTTATCTTAATCTTGTTTAGTTTAGTCCATAATATTTTAAGCTGTCTATATTTTGACTCAACCCCCCATAAGAGGGATTTATTTCTCTTTTATTAATTGGTAATTAGAAACTTGAAAATAATTAACATTTGTCCATATATGCACCAAGAGAACCTTTTCATAATTATATAATAGAGAATTGCCAGCCAGGCCTTAGGGCCTACTATCCAATATAGGCTTATCTCGTGCTCTACTGCAGTTTTGTTTACTTTATATATTTGAAGAACTTCATTAGTGACTAATATATTTACATATTAAAAAAACAAATGTGCTTAGAAAACTTTGAGGTATCAGGATTGCCCCCTTATCTCCGCCCATCGATTCGTGCTACTGGTGTAAAAAAGAGTGTAGCTGTCCCTGGATAACATGTGACATGGTAGATGTTAGACTATAGTTATTAAATCCGACCCAAACATCGACTCGATCGAGGTACTGGGTCATCGAATTATTGGTTGAACCGATGGCTTAGTGGTTGGAATGATGAGTCATTGCTTTAAAATATTTTGAAAAATTTTGTGCATAAAATTTTCTCTTTTAGATAAAATTAAAATTTTAAAGTAATTTATCATTAATTATATTTTTATCTTTAAATTACTAATTTTTTGGACTCATATTAGTGATAATGATTACATTTTGATATTATAATTTTGTATATTACATTTACAAAAATTATATTAGTTCTAATTTTATTATATTATTTAATCTTTTTCAATCAAAATACTTTTAGAAAACATTAACTATTTAAGAATTATATATATCTTATTACAGAGAGAGAGAAATAAAAGTGCCGTTGGTTTAATTGGCCCGGGCTTTGACCGGTTCAGTTGCACTTGGATAATATAATCCAACGTTGAAAGGTTTCAAGGCCTTATCATCCTGGCCAGACCGACTTTTATAACAATATGTTAGACGTATATTATATAAATTTTTGAAAAAGGTTATTAGAAACTTGAAAATAATTAACATTTGTCCATATATGCACCAAGAGAACCTTTTCATAATTATATAATAGAGAATTGCCAGCCAGGCCTTAGGGCCTACTATCCAATATAGGCTTATCTCGTGCTCTACTGCAGTTTTGTTTACTTTATATATTTGAAGAACTTCATTAGTGACTAATATATTTACATATTAAAAAAACAAATGTGCTTAGAAAACTTTGAGGTATCAGGATTGCCCCCTTATCTCCGCCCATCGATTCGTGCTACTGGTGTAAAAAAGAGTGTAGCTGTCCCTGGATAACATGTGACATGGTAGATGTTAGACTATAGTTATTAAATCCGACCCAAACATCGACTCGATCGAGGTACTGGGTCATCGAATTATTGGTTGAACCGATGGCTTAGTGGTTGGAATGATGAGTCATTGCTTTAAAATATTTTGAAAAATTTTGTGCATAAAATTTTCTCTTTTAGATAAAATTAAAATTTTAAAGTAATTTATCATTAATTATATTTTTATCTTTAAATTACTAATTTTTTGGACTCATATTAGTGATAATGATTACATTTTGATATTATAATTTTGTATATTACATTTACAAAAATTATATTAGTTCTAATTTTATTATATTATTTAATCTTTTTCAATCAAAATACTTTTAGAAAACATTAACTATTTAAGAATTATATATATCTTATTACAGAGAGAGAGAAATAAAAGTGCCGTTGGTTTAATTGGCCCGGGCTTTGACCGGTTCAGTTGCACTTGGATAATATAATCCAACGTTGAAAGGTTTCAAGGCCTTATCATCCTGGCCAGACCGACTTTTATAACAATATGTTAGACGTATATTATATAAATTTTTGAAAAACGTTATCACATATCAAAACGTGAAGTATTTTCACGAAACAGTTTACTCAATTCGAAAGACTTTCGTCATACATAATATTGCATTTTGTGAGTATCAACACTCTCTTTCTTTCAATAAGGTACGGTCTTTACTGAACTTCAGGCGAGTGAGTTTGCACTGCTAACTTCACCTAGCACCTCCATCACTAGGAGGTTGGTGGGTATTTACCATTAACATAACCTTAAACAACTTTGCATCCGCAGTGGGTTTCAAATATAATTTAAGTGCATTTACAGCTCACTTAACGTGCATCTTGAATCATTAATTTTTTTTATTCTTCTGGGACTAATTTTTAATTTGCATTAACAAATCCGATATCATGGAATTTATTGATGGGATACTATCGAACGAGCACATGAGTTGCACGTGCCGAGAATTTTGCTTCGGGATCACAATTTGCACCCTCCTCTCACATGCTTTAATAATGTCTCTTCCAAGTAGCTAACAAACTCCCATCCCCCAACAACCGTCCCTCGTGCGTGTGTGTGTGTATATATATATAACAGAAAACTAGGAAAAAAATAAAAGAAAAGAAATAGGTATTGATGTCGAAAATGCACAACATGAATATTGGTCGAGGTTGAAGTTCGAGTTCTTCAATCAATACCTATGAAGGATCAAGAGACTGTTGAATCTACAGATGACCAAGAGATAATGTGACAAACTGAAACATCTTATTAACAGGAGAACAAGAAAGTAAAAGTGATTCGTGTAGTAGCGCTAAGCGAAATGGGGAATTAAGAATTCTTGATTGCACATTTGATGTTAGAATATGTATTTGTACGATAATAAGAATGATGATACTTTAATAATGTTTCACGTTTCAAAATAAGGGTTAAAGTTCATACGCTAAATTTTTTCATGAGTCAATAGATTCCTTTACAAATTCAAAATAAGCTTCCTTCAACTAGTTTTCAATTTTCTCCTCTCCTATCTCATCATTTAAATTCCTTGTCGCACATTGAAGCAAAGTGCTCCTTGAACGAGCATTCTTTTTATCTTTTTGGCTTGTTAGCTCAAAGTAATGTCTTTTGCTCCGAGCAGGGTTAACCAACAGAGGCTCTACAACAAAAGTGACAAAATCAATTGTAGAATGATACCGAGATTATACTCAATTGATAGTAACAATAGAGCTCGTTTATACAAATATACGATTGGCGAGAACTTTGCATTAGAAGCTATTCAAGCTTTGTTTTCCTTGGTATATGAACAATAATAGGTTAAAAATGAGGAGTCCAAAATAGATTGCATCGGACATCAGAGCAAGGCACCTCACAATACGTAGAAATAAATCCAATCCAATCCAATCTTGCATTAACCATTTTCAATGGGCTCTCATGCAATCATCACACGCCATGTATTCATTCTTCGTGCTTTCACGATCTAATCATCCTCTACAGTTCACCTAATTCTAATGGAAGCATTTTCCACTGCAAAAGAAAATATAGCTGTATCAAGCTATCATCATACTAGCCTTCTTTCGTAGAGATAACCGATTTAGTATAGTGTTGATGAAATATGTGATTAAAAAGTTAATAAAATCTTTAGATTCATTATATTTATGGTTAAAAATTAGTTTGAGGAAATGAATTTTAGAAAATGAGAGTCAAACAGGAAATGTGTAAAATTTTATATGAAGAAAAATTAATTTTAATTTCTATAGTTTGTCCCAAAATTTTCTATGCACAACCGTAGAGATACACTACCCTTCTACAGATACACGTTCAGGTCATTTATATTACTCTTATTACAATTAGTATTTGATTATTGGATGTCACGTGAACCGCCTCTAATTTATTAAAGTGTATCGTATGTGATCACCGACAATGGCCAATGGTGGTAAATCTCAAACAACGGAATCTATTGTCTAATCACTCGATTAAATGTAACAATAAATCATTGACGAGAAAAATAAGTAAAACAAAATAAAGATTAAGTTGGTCAACTTGAATCATGGCTAACTCGAAGGGCAATTTTTAATGCTACTCAACGTATCGGTCTAAATGATAATGAATGTCCGTTTAAACTTATTCATCAATTATTAATATATTTTAACTTTACTGGACAAAATCAGATAAACCTCGACCATTGCTATCTATGACAAGTAGGAGTTATCTTGTTCATTATTGAGCCACGTTAGCTACCAAGTATATGAATCATCAAAAAGTTGTAGGTTTCGTGGCAATAGCGATTGTCACGTTCTATCTTATCCATCGTGGATAGGAGATCTTTTCTTTTCTACTTCTTATTGAATACAAGAAGACAATAATATTGACTCAAAATTATAAGGGTTGCACAGCCCTTATCATAAGGCATGGTCTCGCTCATTCCCCCCACGTTCCCATGCCCCACTTGTCTTTGTCCTTCCATTGTACTTAACCCTATTTCAACCCCTCCATCCCTCTCTAAAACTCAGTGCCTGGATAAATTCAGAATCTGAGTCAACACACCTCCCTAAAACACGCATAAAAGTTAAGTCAGTGTGATTAGAGATGGATGTACCTGGAATGGATGATCTTTTAGACTTGTCTAATGATGACATTTTCTCTTCCTCCACAGCAACCGCAGCTCATTTAGACCTCCACTGTCACGCCTCCTCAACCGCTATCGCTGCCACCGCCACCGGTTGCTTTGATGCACCTACTGCTAACTACTACAATTTCCCCGATGTCTTCTGTGTTCATGTAATAATTAAACAAAAAAGATCTCTCTAAAAATATGCATTTACTAGCCTGCAAATGTATGTTGATTCTCAGTTTTCACAATATAGAGCTGATTTTTTTATATATTTTTCTTTTCTAGAGCGATGAAGTGGCTGAGCTAGAATGGCTTTCGAACTATATGGACGATTCAATCACCGATTGTCCGGCGAATTCCATTACCAGCGCCGCAGCAGCATTTCATGGTAGCTTTCGGCGAACAAATAGCGCAGCTGCCGGCACCAACAGATGGAGCTCTACATTACCACCAAATAACAATGTAAATCAGAGAGGGAGTTTGATTAACAGCAGTAAAGAGAACGCTGAAAAGGGGCGTAGATGCACGCACTGCTCATCGGAAAAGACACCGCAGTGGAGGACTGGCCCGATGGGCCCGAAGACGTTGTGCAATGCCTGTGGCGTTCGGTACAAGTCGGGCCGTCTCGTGCCCGAATATCGGCCAGCTGCAAGCCCGACATTTGTTCTCACTCAACACTCTAACTCTCACCGTAAAGTCCTGGAGCTCCGACGGCAGAAGGAGCTCCTTCATCAACAGCAATTTCAGTCTCAGAGATGTAATGACATCACTTTCAGGACCGATGACGTCATGTGAAACAACATGTTTCGGTATTACACGGACTGAAATTTCTAAGCATCATGCTACTTATACAATTTATTTTACAACTTGATTTACAATGTATGAGTCGATAAACATGCATCACATTCAATTATTTGAAAAACTGTTTTTAAAATCAACGATCTGAATTTTTTCTACACACTTGTTGTTAATCAAGTTGTGCATAAATATTATACGAGTACTTTATTTTAATTTTTTTTTGCCTATTTCCCTAAGTTTATGAAAATTTTAGATTTTTATGTAACTTTATATTTTTCATTGCACTTTAGTCCCCTTTTAAATTGTGGAAGGAATTTCATTTAAGTTTCTCGCTTTCCATATCTTTTTTGGGAATCTTCTCTTTTTTATCGTTGGAGCTTTTATACAATGCACGTGTCTCCAACGAGTATCGGCCCAAAGTCTGAGGAAAGAGTAAAAAAAGGGGAGAGTGTTGGCGTGTTGCACGTGACAGGGATTAAAATATTCATCTGCGCAATGCTTACCCATAGGCTGAGTGATCTTTATTAGGCTCCTTTGACTCTAACGTGATTTTTAGTTTTACTTTTCTTGCTCGTAATCAAATGCAAGTTTCGTTACCTTAAATCAACTTTCTTTAAAAGTAAAAGTTCTTTGAATCAAATAAATCACTTTTAAAAAATTATTCATACATATTAAAAAAAAAAAGGTTCTTAATCTGAAAAAACAATTTTTGACTTTTTAATAATCTTGTCAAACAATCCCTTGATGACTTTAATTGATTTGTCATCTTAATTCTTAAATTTGATAAATATCATTACTCTATTCCATGCAATATATATTATGGGGTCACTGACTTAATGTACGCATATATTTTTGTTATGTTATCCATTATTTTCTGTTAGAAAAGAAAACTTTTGATAAATAATGCTAATTTTCGACTGAAGTATTAGAACGAGCTAGCATAAGAGATCAGAAAAGTATACACATACAATTCTTGTCTGCACACATGCAGTGTTTGGGGAGATACACGGTTTAATCAATTTCTCTTGTTGAACTCTATAAAATGAAAATTAAATTTTTTAAAAAAAAAAGATATAATAAAATAAACAATGAATGAACAAGGTAAACTATTGATTCTTGTATTAGCCTTTGTATGGGGTACATGGGGGAGTATTTATAGTGTCACAAGTTAGATCGTGACCTTTGGTTCGGGGTACACGTGGCCTCATCCGGTTAATTTACATGTCAAATTGTAGGCATCAGCCATACCTAGCCTGCTATACATTTATTGATTGGCAGAACCGCTTCTATTAGTGACAAGACTTAACATTTATACTCATGACAAACGTCCTATTAATCATTCTAGTAAGATCTTTGTGCAGAGGATCTCTTGGGGGAAGTGTCTATGGAAGATGCTGCTTTGTGATTCGGAGGCTGCTACCTCGGCTACAAAGTTTCGGCCAACAGGGCCTCGTCCACATTCAAAGGGCTCCTCAAGAGGCAATGATAGATGGGCCTCGGATATATGGACCGAGGCTTCTGTGGACCTCGGCTATGCAAATCACCTCGACTTGAGTGCTACGTGGTTTGGCATGAGTTGGCTGTGGGCCCCAGTGGATTGTCCAACTGTGCAAACATGTAACAATAGTCCCCCAAGTTTGAGTATAGTCATTTATGTAATGCGAGAATTTTGATGAAGTAAAGCCAGCCAGTTAAGTTGAAAGAAATTTTTGTACCCCAAATAATAGTCCCCTAAATCCAAGTATAGATATTTATATTACGGTTGGAGTTAAAAACGTGCTGTTGTGGAAGAATGATGAAATTGAGGTAGTTTGAGAATTCGAACCTGCGAGACTTGGTGGCTGAATTGTGATGAGGAAGCCGAAGTGGTTGAGAAATCGAACTTGCAAGGCTTGGTGGCTGAATTGTGATGAGGAAGCCGAGTTGGTTGACAAATCGAACCTGCGAGGCTGGGTGGCTGAATTGTGATGAGGAAGCCGAGGTGGTTGAGAAACCAAACCTGCGAAGCTGGGTGGCTGAATTATGATGGGTGGTTGACAAAACCGAACTTGCGAGGCTGGGTGGCTGAATTGTGATGAGGAAGCCAAGGTGGTTGAGAAATCGAACCTACGAGGTTGGGTGGCTGAATTGTGATGAAGAAGTCGAGGTGGTTGACAAACCGAACCTGCGAGGCTTGGTGGCTAAAATATGAGGCACATTAACAATATTTGTTCCTCGGTAGTTGTGCCAATGATTTGATGTTTTGCACGTATTTTTGAGGAAAGGTGGCTGAACCGTTTCAACTTTCAAGGCGCCTGCCGCCGTCAAATTAAATTCGTAATCATGACAACAGCTGAAACTTCTAGAAGCAGACACGTTGGGGGAGGTGCGTGGGAGACACACTTAAATCTGAGGCGTAGGTTTGAAAAATCGTTTGAATTCTACGCCTCGAATTTAATTTAAAATGAAGGATTCAGATTGTATGGGCTTTGATCAGACGGTTGGGATTCGTCCTAGCCCTTTATAAAAGGCGAGAGAGCCCCATTTTTCTGGATTTTCTACCTTTGCAATCTTAATTTTCTTCCAAAGCTTAAGTTTTCCGGCGTTGAAGTTGTTTGTTCCCTGGTTTTCCGGCACCATTTCGTTGGCGTACTTATTCCCGTCGGTATTTTCACAGAAAATCCCTTGTATTGCGTTCTTAGTCGTTTTTTGAAATGGAGTCCATCTCGGGTAGGGAGTTGGTTACTGTTGCATCATTCGGTCAAAGGGCTAGTTACAGGGAGGACTCCGAGGTTGAGCGGTATGCTATGACCTAGGAGGCAATAGACTACAGTGTAGAGTGGGGGACGTCTAGAGTCCCTTCGAATATGATATTGAAGAGGCTGGAAGAGATCAGGGAGAGGTACTGTGTATCTCATTACATAGAGATGTTAGTACCCGAGGCCCATGAGCGAGCCTGCTATCCAAGGCCTGGGTGCGTGGCGGTGAGTGAGTACCTGTTTAAGGCAGGTATGCGTCTTTCTCTGCACCCCTTCTTCAGGACGGTGCTGAGGAATTTCATGTTGTCGCAGACCTAGGTTCTGTCAAATGGGTAGAGCCAGTTAGTTGGCTCGTACTTCCTATGGAACGAAGTGTCACTTGGGAAGGACATGCCTCTCCACGTCTTCATGACCCTATTCCGGCCTAGGGTAATAGGTAAGGAGTTAAAGGGGTGGTATTACTTAACTCCTTGGGGGGCTCATGCACCATTTGTGGTGGGGGCTGCCTTCTTCCATTAAGGGGTGGAAGGAGTTGTGGTTCTGGGTGAGGGACAGGTGGCAGGCGGTGGAGGGGACATAGCCCTGGCTTGCACAGTACCGACCCAGTACTACGAAGCTCGTGAATCTCCCAACCTAAGTTTGCATTCTGTATTCAAATTTCTTTAGATCTAACTGTTGAGGCTTCCTTTGCAGATAGCAGTACGAAGTTCGAGTTGAGTAAGGAGAAGTTTGAAGTGATAGAGGACATTTACAAGAGGCCTCTCAAGCTTCGCCACTTCAACCACCTTATCAACCGAAGTTACTACTTTCTTGATTTTGAACTGATGACCTCCAAGGGTAAGAAACTCCTATACTTGTGTATTTCTTGCTTTTTATTTTGATGCTGATGCATTTACATGTTCTACAGACAAGTTCAAGAGGAGGCTGACATGGCCTCTATTCTCAGGGTCACATCTACTGTGAAGGCGAGGCCCCTGAAGCCGGGGTCCAGTGGTGCCAAAGAGGTTTGAGGCAGAGTCGAGCACCTCTCTAAGGATGGCAGCTCAACGGCTCTCAAAGAGGGGACACTTCAGAGGCCGGAGAAGGCCAAAGAGCCTCTGGGGAAGGAGAAGGTCCCCGAGGAACAGAAGAAGAGGAAGCTGGTGCATGTCACCAGCTTGTCAAGGAAGTTCGGGACCCTTGTGTCCCATGAAGGCAAAGAAGCCACTCAATCGAAACTCCTTGCAGTCGCCTCGAAAGCGGTAAAGATTGAAATGGTTCGATGAGCTAAGGCTGAGGAGGCTAAGGAAGAGGCTGCGATGAGGGCAGATGAGGCGGCAGAGGAAGAGGCTGCTAAGCAGAGGCCTGCGAGGGTGCAAGGGAAGTCTCTGAGCTTCGTTGCTAGAAGGGAGGAGGCTCTGGCTCCAGCATTGGTGGAGGCTCTACCAGCTAAGATCTGAAGTGCTACAGAACGCTTCTACAAATTCTAGATGGATCGGTGGCAGTTGCACGCCTCTTCATGTGACGCTACAGACTTAACAAGGGCCCTCGTGAGCCAAAGTGTGAGGACCTTTGGCTTCGCACTAGAGTGCAGGGAGGCCCTTACTGACTTTCAAACGAGGACCCAGCCCTTGGAGAAGAAGATGGCCTCCCTTGCAGAGGAGCTGAGGGGTGCTAGAGCTGAGGCAGAGGAAGCGAGGGCCCAAAAATTTGAAGATATGGCCAAGCTGGAATCTGCTTTGGCTCAGATCGAGGCGTTGAAGAAGAAGAAGGTGTATGAGTCCCAGTGCGAGGTGACCTCCTTGACTAAGAAAGTGGAGGTTTCCAATGACCACCAGAAGGTGACTTTCGAAGCCTTGGAGAAGGCGAACTTGGAGCTAGTTGGGGCCCAAGATGCATACAAGTTCTTCGAGGGCCAGATAAAGTGGTATGTTGATGAAGCGGCCAAGGCAAAGGAGGAGGCCAAAGTGGCGAAGAAGGAGGCGGTGAAAGACTACATTGCCAACTTCCACAATACCGAGAAGTACAAGAGTTTCAGCACGTACTGGAGAAATTATGCTTATACCGAGATGATGGAGAGGGCTGAGGAACTTTACCCAAATCAAGACCTGTCACAGCTGAGGTCGGAGTTTGTGGATGAAGTGTTTCAAACCCCAGCTGATGAAGCGGTTGGGGATGAAGTAGCAGAGGCAAAAGAAGGAAGTTCTAATGCTCAGGCTGCGGAGGCCCCGGCCGCTGAGGCGCCTCTATCATCGTCCCAGGCTTAGGATAGTTTTCTTTTCATTTATTTCTGATGTACTGGCCTCAGGCCCCCATTTTATAATTTTGATTGAAATTCAATATAATATCTTCTTTCATTCAATGTTGTTTTTCTCCTAAGTCCATTGGCATCGTCAAGCAATTGAACTTAATGTTGGTTGAAGAACTAAATAACTTTAACTTGGTATCCTAACTCCAATCTCTTGAGCAAGTAAATTGTATGCAAGCATCACGAGCCA